CCTGCCCTTAGTTATCCACACTGATGGAAAGTACATTTACTTAAGTACTATTCAAGATTATTAAGGAAATGCCTGTGCACGAGCTACAAAAGATTAAGAGCAATATTAAAAAGTTATGTTGTTATCTTCCATTTCCTTGTGGGTTGAACATATGTAAATGCATGCAATGATAGAACGCTGCTGGTGCTGATGAGCTTCCTGTGTTGTAAACCATTGAGTTTCTGGACATCTATACAAAGAGTTGCGGTACATCTTCTTCCTTAGACACTTCTGAGATATAGAAACTATCAGATGTCTCTCCAGCTCAACAACACCTCATCTTTAGTGGCACATTTTGTCCCAAGCATGTCTTTACACCAGACTCTCAGTGTCCCGTATCACGGTCTTAAAGGTCCCATGACATGGCCATTTCTACTGATCATATTTCCATTGTTGAGGTCTACTAGAATAGATTTATATTGTGCAATTATCCAAACTCACATTGGTTTCTCATACAGCATCTCTGTATAGTATGTGTATTCACTCTCTGTCCTACACGGCTTGTTGGAGCTCCTGCCCCACCCTCCCTGTGGGCCAATCCGGTCATTTGTTGTTGATTTGGGTGTTCACACGTCACAGAACCCAGGAAGCAAAAAATGGAAAAAGAGAAATCTTCAACGAGGCGTTCTGGGGCAGCATAGACAGGTCTTTTTTGTGTTAGAGTTTTACTCGCTACAGGGTGTACTTTGAGGGTTTGTGACTCTGCAGACCGTTTACATGCAGAGAAACCTTCATAACACACAAGGGGACGGGTAATAACCGGAAAAGCATGACATGAGCCCTTTAACGTACGGTAACATTGCATAATGTTGTAATGACGCTGTAAGCTTAATATCTAGTGAGTGTTATCTGCAGGTACGTGTGCTTACTTTGCAGCCACAGTTTCTCTGGTGTTAAGTTTCAACTTGGTAAACATGACACAAAAGTACCCTCTTTTTAGACCTGAACTGTTAGTGTCCTACTGTAGAGAATTATGAAGAATGCATGCAAACCATGTTCCACAGAAACCAGGTTAACTCAGAATAATGTGTGACTTGTTTCTGCTTTGCTCAGTAATTCCATGTTCTCCCTACCACCTCTTTACAAGCGTGCAACATCTTTCACATGCTTTTGTGCACAAAAGATGCACTGTTGCACAAAAGTACTTCCATCCAAACCTGAACAACCACCTTTCTGCTAGAAAATATCGCATAAAAAACACTTTCAAACATCGCACTGCTGCCCCTGAGCTCCAGCCTTTAGTCCATATATCATAGAGGTGTAACATACTTTTCTAAATTGGATTAGGACGCGGTGCACTTCGCTCTGCATCAGCCAATCCGCTCGCTACTCCCTCACTGCGAGTTGGACCCAAAACCCCTTTAATTAAAACACAATTAAGCTTTCCTGGTTTAAAAATAGTGAAACAAGCTCTCTGTTGATATCAGGACAGCAGAACGTTTACATATCTTTGGTTGCAGAGTGAAAACCCACCAGTTGAGATCATTTGAAACTAATGCCTAATGAGGTTTGTCTGATTTAAAGTGAATATATCTGCAGAGTTGATATCCTTATGGTTTGTTGCACATATTGTACGTCGCTTTGGATGATAATGCAATGTTTGTAAGAAGCTGGATTTGCTGCTTTGCTTTAAATATGACTCTTTATTTGTGTATGGAACTTGTGGTGTTGTCCGTTCTGCTTGTTATCTCTTCCCATGCTGTTGCATTGACTCTGTGCCAGGTTATCAGCTCCGTGCACCTGATTCTGTCTGGGTTTCCCCTCGTGGGTTTACATGAGTCCCTGTCACACATAGTTGTGCAGCTTGTGAATGTATCAGCTGTCGGACAGCAGGGGATGAGAAAAACACTTTGTGCTGCAGCTGTCATAACACACAATATTATACATCCGAGTTTATTTAATTCTATGTCACTTTGAAACGTTGTTTGAGTCATCTCGTAATCCCAGCTCGGCCATGATGAGTTACACAATGTTTGATACGGTGCAAAGTGCTGAAGTTGGAGCTTCTATCATTAGTCGGGGTCCCGTCGCAGTAGAAGAGGGGAATGTGAGATGTGATCCTCCGGTAAGACCATCCCGCTTGTTGTGAGGCCCCGGTTACCTAATAAATTCCATGCATGGGTCATTTCTGGAGCTCTCTGCGTGCACTGATGGCCTGTTTGGTGTTTTCAGACGATGCATTGATCACTGTTGTGCTTTTTAAATCAAATATCTGTTGAGTTATAACGCTGAGTAGAGAGTTATTGAAGTTATTAAGGAGCTGGCAATTCATTTTTGCTCATTTTAACAGTCTTAAACCAATATAGGAGTACTTTTTGGACAGTAAACGTGCACTGATGGTCTGTTTAGTGTTTTCAGAGGATGCATTGATCACTGATGTTCCTTTAAATCAAATACCTGTTGAGTTATAATGATTTGTAGAGAGTTATTTGAGTTATTAAGGAGCTGGCAATTAAAACATTTTCAAATTTGGCTCTTTTTAACAAGCTTTAACTAATGTAGGAGTACGTTTTGGACAGTAAACGTGCACATTTACACACTGCACAAGTCATTCTTATTGCAACATGGTAGGACATTGAGTAAGTCTGTATGCACTCTGATCTAAACTTTGTGCTGCTTGGATTAGACATAAAAAAACTCTACTATTCTAAGTATTAAATCAATCATTATAATAAAATATAAAAAAATGGGAGCTGAAAAGTGAATTTAAGGTACATTCATTGAGACAATGATAACTAACCTGGCTCTCCCTCTTAAATGTGAATACATTCTGTATTTCTTTTAGTCTCTTGTGACAGTTAAACTTATATGTTCTTGTTTTGGACATAATGAAATACCGTCTGCTTCAGAAATGTGTTATTTTTCATAGTTGAATCTACAAATAATATGTAGATAAATGAAGGTACTGTAGGTCTGGCCTTATACACTATGTAAAAACAACTTGAAAATGCATTACATACACCACTTTGTCACGGAAACACCTTGCATTACGATGCATATTAGACTGACAGTCATGGGTAAATATCATCAGGTTATCCTATAACATCTGCTCTGTACAGTTAGAGCAGTATTGTATAACTCCTGTAGCCTTTAATATATAATCTGACTGCTTTTTCATTTTCATTTTCATTTAATCGTTTATTAGAACAGGGACAATGCACATTAATGAACACTTTAGACAAATAATGCTTCAAGTGTAAATATGCCGGATTTTAGCTTTGAGCTCATTTCCATCCGTAGTCCCTCACATACAACATATAAGAACATGACATTTGTAAACATAGCAAAAAATAAATACATGATATGCAAAAGAGCATGAGCAGCATACACAAGTATTTATCACATGGCAGTACAATATAGCAGCTACGACATATTAAGTGCAAGAGAGGATACCCCTGTATTAAAGTGCATTTAGCGGTGATTGCACGTCTGGTTGTTTCTCAACCATTCTTTGAGTTGACCTTTGAAGCTATTGAGAGTGGGACAATCCCGTATCTCAGTTGGGAGGCTATTCCACAATGAGCTGCCTTTAATGGAGAGGACATTTTGTCCAAAAGTGGTCTGTCTGCGGTGGACTTCACAGTCTCCTCTGGTTTCTGACCTAGTGCAGAGTCCAGTGTGTTTTCTGTGGATGAATTCCCCTAAGGGAGGGGGGGGGGGGCAGTCCATCTTTTATACATGGTATCATACAATCAGGGCGATACATATGTCAGTAAAGCAACACCACTCCCGTACTCTGTAGTAAAGTATTTATAGTGACAGAAAAAGGAAAGCCTGAGTCAATTAATGCCGGGTAATAGATGTAAGCGCTGATTCATCTGAATAAGATCCCTCTGTTTTCTTATGTTTCAGATCTGCTTCCTCCTGTTTGCAGTCCTCTACATCGTGTCCTACTGCATCATCACCAGATACAAGAGGAAGAGTGGTGAGTGTGAGTTAGTGTGTGTGTGAGAGAGAGAAACATGAACTCTAAACTAGAGAATGCAATTCCTGAAGAAATTGCTAGTGGGAATGCTTTATGCTGAAAATCTGACGCTAAACTGCTATGCTGAAATGTAATGTGTAAGAAGAAAGTGAAGAATTGAGATTGAAATGATACATGAACACTGGGGGCTTGAATGTGTGATGAGAGAAGAAAAGAAAGTAAAAAGGCTTGGAAAAGCAGCAGAATATTTGAACTGCAAACTTTTGAACTAACTTGATGGCGAATGGTCTGTCGCCATGCCAACGGCATTTGATGACATCCCATAATACGCTTAGATGCGTTGATGGCTGCATCGTTACCAAACCTGTGAAGTTTTGGGCCGTTTGGAGCATTTTCACTGAAGTTATGAGAAAACCGTGTTTCATGATGAGCATTGTGTTGCCATGGCAACGGCATTTGAAGAAATCTCAAAACTGTCCCGTAGATGTCTTCACGGCTGGACTGTTAGTTTGAGCACTTTTTGAACATTTTCATAGGAGTTATAGCGACATCGTCTTTTATGGTAAGGGTCATGGAAACGGCATATGATGACACCCCATAATTGACGTAGAGCTGTTGAGGGCTGGACCGTTAACCATTATCTGAAGTCTGCTGCTCTGAGCATGTCATTTGGAGTTATGACATCATCGTGTTCCATGACACAGGTGTTTATATTTGAGCTAACGACGTGTCCAGAAAAGTAAAAGAGTAAAAATTTCCCTAGTATTTTCAGTTAAATATCGCTTTGTGGTTACCTCTTTTTGAACATTTTTGTGAACAGAAATAGAGCTCTCAAAGAAAACACAGGAATGATCAGAGAGTGCAACATCAGTCACCTCAACCTCAGAGATATTCAGACCCTTTGAGATAATTAAGTCCAGAGTGTGCCCCTTATTGTGCGTGGGCTCCGTCACATGCTGAGTCAGTCCATAGTTATCAATAACACAAAACAGTTCTTTAGCCCCTCTGTCCTGGGGGTTGTCAACATGGATGTTAAAATCACCAACAATGACTAGACGGTCAAAGTCAATACACACTATAGACAGCAGTTCAGTAAAATCATCAAAAAAGCTTGCACAGTATTTGGGTGGTCTATAGATATTTAGGAACAGAGCTCGAGAGGAGCATTTCAGCTGAAGGGCCACATATTCAAAAGAAGCAAAGTCCCCATAAGATGTCTTCCTGGATTGAAGGGAGTCATTGAACAAAATAGCAACTCCACCCCCTTTCTTATGCATTCTTTCCTGACTCATGAAACTAAAGTTGGGAGGGGTTGATTCGATAAGAACAGCTGCACTGTTATTTTGTTCAATCCAAGTTTCCGTTAAAAACATAAAATCCAGATTGTGCTCAGTGATAAAATCATTGATTAAAAATGTTTTTCCTGCCAAAGACCTGACATTTAATAAAGCTAGTTTAAGTTTGTTAAATACACTATCAGTCAGATTTGTTGTGGCAAGCTGTGGCTGACATGGAATCACTGCTAAATTTGATAAACTCACACAAAACTTCTGAGCGCTTCCTGTTTCTAAGCCGATTCACCGATCTTAATCTGTTACCTATCAACACAGATATCGTCAAAGCTACAGGCAGGAAGGGCCCCGGCATGTCCTGGAAAGAGTTGAGTGCAATACGCCCTTGAGCCTGGACCCAGCACATATCAGTTAGAGTTTGCGTTTTGTACACACACACATTCTTATCAGGCTTCGGAGACAGCAGTCTTGAAGGGGGGGGAAGGAAGTTTTGGTCCGGATGATTGTGGTAGGCATGGTGATTAGGGATGCCAGAAACTGACCATGATCAAATTCGAAAATCGGACAGCCCTGGCGAATATTAATCGATTATTCGCCGCCGACATCCCCCCATTTAAAAAAAATATAAAGTATTTTCGCAGAGCTTGCATTTTACTGCATTTGCACTTGTCAGTTCGAAGTAGTTCCACGAGGAACACTTCTTTGAACGTGCTGCTTTGTTCCTCTTTAGTTGTGTTGTTCTCACTGTTCTGTATATCGCCAATAAATCAACTATTGAAACTAAGCCAGGAAAAAAAAGAAAAACATAAATAATAATAAAAATATATATAAATAAAATCGAATTTTAAAAATAATTTTCGATTATGGAGACTGTAACGAATATTCGAAAAATCGAATAATCGCTGGCATCCCTAATGGTGATGGGGGTGATGGTGCGCGTCTATGCTTCGGTGATTGCGGTGGGCGTCGTTGAGGAGGGGCGGGGGTAAAGGACACCCTGCGTATCGCCTTCATGCTGTGGTCATTGAACTCCAGGAAGGACTTGGTGCCAACCCTCTGTATCTCCTTCATCTGCTAATCAAACTCCAGGGGGGTGGGCGAGGGTGAAAGGGTGAGCGGAGAGTAGAGAGAGCTGGGGTGAGAAGGAAGAGTATCATCAAAGGTGTTGACAGGGGGGGTGAATGGCGGTGGACACTCCTCCATTTGTGTCATAGGTCTCCTAGAATCAAAACATTCCTCAGGCGGGTGCAGTGATACTTCTTCAAGGTTTTCTGTGCGATGTGTTGTCTTTCTCCTGTTTTGATTCCTCTTGCCGTTTGTCCTTGGCAGAGGGAACAGATTGATGACGCAGGCAGTTGAATATGTTGGAGATAAACAATTTCACTCCTGACTTGTTCAGGCAAATTCCATCTGCCTTAAAAAGATGTCTGCGGTCCCAGAGAAAGTTAAAGTTGTCAATAAAATGCACAGAATGGTCAGTACAGGCAGATGAAAGCCACGTGTTCAGTGCAAACAGTCTGCTGAATCTCTCCTCTCCTCTTCTGACTGGCGGTAGAGGGCCACTGATGAACACCTCTGCATTTAGAGAGCTGACAGTTTCCAACAGACATTTAAAGTCTTCTTTCAGCACTTCTGACTGTTGTTTCTCAACATCATTTGTTCCAATGTGTAGTACCACATTCTTCACAGTCGGATGTTCAGCCCCAATATGCAGGATCTTCTCAGCCAAGTCAGAGACCATATCCTTTGGGAAAACAGAGTACTTTGGTGTTGTTCTTACTACACAGACATCTCTTTTGCATCTGCAACACTTACAGAGCGTGAGTGAAGCGTTTCCACGGCACACACACGTATAAGAGCACCTGTGTGTGTGTGTGTGTTTACGGTGTGTTTGCTCACACACAGCCTTCATTGTGTGTTGCATTACGCCCCAGTAAAGGATTAGTGTGTGTGTGTGTGTAGAGAGAGACAGACAGACAGACAGTCACCTCTGTATCCGTGTGAACTGTCTCCGCCCAAAATAGCTTTAAGGCTTTGGCAAAATGGAAGTAATTTGTCACAATAAAACAATTGTTGACATTGTGACAAAACCTGTTTGATATGCAAACGATGCTGAGTCAGCGGATCGTTACAGGAGGTTATGTGTTGTTATTTGTCGTTATAAAGGACAATACAGAGATGTAAACAAGAGAGCATGGACATGTTAAAAAAAAAACATATTTCGTCAACTATTACAGGTTAAAAATGGGCTACTTTGGTTCAGAAATAGCAATACAATAGTTCATAAATAATAACAACAATAACATATTTGATCAAAACTGTGTTCTTTAAGTATTCTTTGTTACATAATGTGTATTTTATTTGCATCTTAACTGAGTGTCTTTGGTTTCCTCTCTAGATGACCACGAAGATGAAGATGCCGTCGTCAACAGAATATCGTGAGTGAAGCACATTTCAATTTATTCTTCTTTTTAGAATCTGTGTCAAATGATTGTTACCAGTTAGAGACAAAACTGTTTCTTAATTGAATATTCATTTAAGTGGTGTATTCCAGCAACAAGTACACACTCTCTGGGTCCTTATTCTCAGTTTAATAATGCTTCATTGCAGCCCTGTCACTTATAACTAATGACATATATTGAAAAAGCCTTGCATCAACATACTGACTGCCACTATAACTGTGTGTGTGTGTGTAGAGCTGTGGTGGTGAGGATCACATATCTGTCAGTGTAGAGTTGCCACACACACACACACACACACACACACCCTGCATGTTTAGGTGCAGCTGAGCTAAATGGCACCTAAGGGCCCGTCTAAATAATTTAAAGCGTTTAAGTTAATGTGCTTTTTTTAGAGATATGGTGACGAGGGAACTGCAGCTTCTGTCACTAAATAAGTGTGTGTGTGTGTGTGTGTGTGTGCGTGTGTGTGTGTGTGTGTGTCCTCTGCAGATTGTACCTGTGCACCTTCACCCTGGCAGTGTCGGGTGGAGCCGTGTTCCTGCTGCCTTTCTCCATCATCAGTAACGAGATCCTGCTCTCTTTCCCCAAAAACTATTACATCCAGTGGCTCAACGGCTCGCTCATCCACGGTCAGTCCGTCTCTCACACTACACGTCTGTTTATTTCATTAAAGGGGCCCTAACTTTCTCTGTAGATTTAGCCACTTTTCAGCTCTAGCTACCTTCATTTTAAAAGAGCAGGCAACACTGGGATGGGTTTATCTGTTGGTTCATCTAAAACAAATGCTGCGTACAACTAGGGATGGGTTATTAAAGACCGTGGTACCGTTAAGCTCCAACGTTATCGGTCTTTTTATCGGTACTGGAGACATCTAAAATATATCTCATATGTATTATTGCTACACAAACATTATATTACAGTTTTAGTGTCGCCAACTCCGTTTCTAATACGCAAGAAGACTGCAAAATGCGTCTATGATTATTTTTAGTATTTTCGATCTTTCCAATCCAGACGAGAGATCTCTCTCTCCCGTCTGTGTGCGAGGGGGCGGGGCGGTTTACACACACACAGACACACACACAGACACACACACACACACACACACACACACGGAGGAGATGGCGGAGAGAGCGTGCTCCGAGGTGTGGTTAAACTTTACCCGTCTCGATGTGGACAATGCTCGTTACCAAAAGTGTACTCCTGGTGCTAGACTCCTGGTGCTAGACTCCTGGTTCTAGACTCCTGGTTCTAGACTCCTGGTTCTAGACTCCTGGTGCTAGACTCCTGGTGCTAGACTCCTGGTACTAGACTCCTGGTACTAGACTCCTGGTACTAGACTCCTGGTTCTAGACTCCTGGTACTAGACTCCTGGTACTAGACTCCTGGTTCTAGACTCCTGGTTCTAGACTCCTGGTACTAGACTCCTGGTTCTAGACTCCTGGTGCTAGACTCCTGGTACCAGACTCCTGGTGCTAGACTCCTGGTACTAGACTCCTGGTTCTAGACTCCTGGTTCTAGACTCCTGGTTCTAGACTCCTGGTTCTAGACTCCTGGTGCTAGTCTCCTGGTGCTAGTCTCCTGGTACTAGACTCCTGGTTCTAGACTCCTGGTTCTAGACTCCTGGTTCTAGACTCCTGGTGCTAGACTCCTGGTACTAGACTCCTGGTACTAGACTCCTGGTACTAGACTCCTGGGGCTAGACTCCTGGTGCTAGACTCCTGGTGCTAGACTCCTGGTGCTAGACTCCTGGTGCTAGACTCCTGGTGCTAGACTCCTGGTACTAGACTCCTGGTACTAGACTCCTGGTACTAGACTCCTGGTACTAGACTCCTGGTTCTAGACTCCTGGTGTAGTACCAGTACCATTTTTAAGGAGGTTTAAAAAAGATTTGTGTGAACAGTTTGAATGTGTTTGTTCACACTAAGGGGCCCTATTCTGCTTGTTGGGGTCGTTCCCTCTCCTGTAGTAAATACTGAACGACTGTTGTACATTTTCTAATTGTAATCCAATCCAATCCAACTTTATTTATATGGCACATTTAAAAACAACAGAGTTGACCAAAGTGCTGTACATCAATACATATATAAAAATGCAGCATAAATACATTTAGAAACAAATGTAAAAGCACGAGACAATGAAACCATCCTTATAGCCACAGACTAAAAACCCTCATACAAGATGTCAAAACATTTTAAAACACGACTAAATCGAAAACACAGACTGATACGTCTTATACGTGGTCGGCAAAAAAAACGAGATTTTAAAACAAATCAATTAATCAATGAATATGTTTTGAATATACAGAACCAGTCAAATGTTTGGACACACCTTCTCATTCCAAGGTTTTTATTTAAAAAAAGTAGCCCCCCCCTTTTGCTTTGATGACACACTCTTGGCTTCTCTCAATAAGCCTCATGAGGTAGTTTGGGTGTCTTCAGTAAAAATATAAAATCCAAATCATATTCTCGTTCATTTAACACTTTTTAGTTTACTACATAATTCCATATGTGTTCTTTCATAGTTTGGATGTCTTCAGTATTAATCTACGATGTAGAAAATAATTAGAATAAATAAAAACCATTGAATGAGAACGTGTGTCCAAACTTTTGACTGGTACTGTAGTGTACACATTATTTTAATGTGTAACCTGATAAAAGGCTGCATGTTGCTGCCTCTGCCACCAGGGGGCACCAGAGTCCACGATTTAGACACAAAGACACTTGGCAGATAAACTACTACCCAGAGGTGGGAAGTAGTGGAGTACAAATACTTCTGGTATCAGTACTTTACTCCACTACTTTTTACTTTGACTTCTTACATTTTGAACACAAATACCTGTACTTTCTACTTCTTACATTTTGAACACAAATACCTGTACTTTCTACTTCTTACATGTTGAACACAAATACCTGTACTTTCTACTTCTTACATGTTGAACACAAATACCTGTACTTTCTACTTCTTACATTTTGAACACAAATACCTGTACTTTCTACTTCTTACATGTTGAACACAAATACCTGTACTTTCTACTTCTTACATTTTGAACACAAATACCTGTACTTTCTACTTCTTACATGTTGAACCCAAATACCTGTACTTTCTACTTCTTACATTTTGAACACAAATACCTGTACTTTCTACTTCTTACATTTTGAACACAAATACCTGTACTTTCTACTTCTTACATGTTGAACACAAATACCTGTACTTTCTACTTCTTACATTTTGAACACAAATACCTGTACTTTCTACTTCTTACATGTTGAACACAAATACCTGTACTTTCTACTTCTTACATGTTGAACACAAATACCTGTACTTTCTACTTCTCACATTTCCCAAACAGGCTGGTTCCTTTAGTTTGAATGTGTGTTTGGTGGCGTGATCATTATTATTTAGAGTCATTGCGTGCCTATTGATTTGAACACGATCCGTGTATCCATCATTTCCTGGTCTTCTCTAAAGAAGAGGGACCAATGAAAACGTTGTCATGTTGCCGTTGTTCAGCATGGAAACATTCATTAGCTAACAATGACATTATTGTTCTATTAATATAAAGGGAGGTCAGGTACTCTTTAAAACAGCTGCTAGTTATGGGTACTTTTTACTGAAGTACATTTCAAAGCCTCTTTACTTTTACTTGAGTAAAGAAGTTTAGTCAGTCTACTTTCACCACTTTTAAACATGAGTATCCGTACTACTACTTGAGTAAAGTATGTGTGTACTTTTGCCATCTCTGCTACTACCTAATAAACCGGAAAAAGTCACATTTTTCTTTACATGAATGTATATATCTGTTTCCTGCAGGTCTGTGGAACCTGGTGTCTCTGTTCTCCAACCTCTGCCTCTTCGTCCTGATGCCCTTCGCCTATTTCTTCCTGGAGTCGGAGGGATTTGCGGGGTCTAAAAAGGTACGTTTATGCTAATGTTTGTCGTAGAATTTCTATACATTATTCTTGCTATTTTTTGGGTGTCACAAAAGGTTAAAAACTATCGTCAAAAAACATAAAATATGGGAAATAAATGTGACATTTTCTGTGCTTTTGAAATCTGGATGCAATTAAAATATCTTCTTTTACCATTACTATTTACCTGTAAACATTTTTTAGCAGTAACCTTATCTAAGTATATGTTCATATATATATATATATATATATATAAAAGTAACCGGATTACTTTCCACTACTTTTAGATTACCTGAATATCCAATGCAAAAAATCCAGAGAGAATAAACCGAGATATTTAGGATAAAAATTGCAGAGTTTTAGAAATTCTGTTTTAGTTTAATAAATTAACGCAATCAGAATATTTTAGTAGCCTAATTGAAACCAAAAAAGAAAACTCAGGCAATACGTCTACCTATAATATATTATTTAAAATGCATTCTAACACTGTAATCCCGCTAGTATTCTCTCTTTTTTACGCATTCCTTTATGCAACTATAAGGGAATTCAGATTCACCATACGTTATTGTCCATTAAATGAACATTTAATATAAATAAGGTAACATAACACACACCATACACAGTCCAACACACGCTTCACACACACAAAACAAAGGAGAATTGCATCTTAACGTGACTAAGTGGCCGTCTTAATAAAAGTGTGTGTATCCTGATTACATTTAATCTGTTACTCCTCTAACCTGCTGACACTGAAGAGGCTTACAATCTGAGTACTTCTACTTTTACTCAAGATCTGAGTACTTCTACTTTTACTCAAGTGAAGTGCAAGATCTGAGTACTTCTACTTTTACTCAAGTGAAGTGCAAGATCTGAGTACTTCTACTTTTACTCAAGTACAAGATCTGAGTACTTCTACTTTTACTACAAGATCTGAGTACTTCTACTTTTACAGGATCTGAGTACTTCTACTTTTACTCAAGTGAAGTGCAAGATCTGAGTACTTCTACTTTTACTCAAGAACAAGATCTGAGTACTTCTACTTTACTCAAGTACAAGATCTGAGTACTTCTACTTTTACTCAAGAACAAGATCTGAGTACTTCTACTTTTACTACAATATCTGAGTACTTCTACTTTTACTACAAGATCTGAATACTTCTACTTTTACTACAAGATCTGAGTACTTCTACTTTTACTCAAGTACAAGATCTGAGTACTTCTACTTTTACTACAAGATCTGAGTACTTCTACTTTTACTACAAGATCTGAGTACTTCTACTTTAACTCAAGAACAATATCTGAGTACACTTTTACTCAAGATCTGAGTACTTCTACTCAAGAATCTGAGATGTAATTACTGTTAGCTGTCCTGTGTGTGCGAATGCTTCAGGGTGGATGCCGCAGCAGGTGTGGTTGCCCTCTCTCTGACTCTTCTCCCGACTGTAACCACAGAGAGTTCATTAAAAGTCTGCCTCTGGACTTCGCCCAGCGCCACATCCTGACAATCCCTCCAGAAAGGCCACGTTTTGGGCTGCAAACGCTTCAACACCGCTGCATCGGCCCCACTGATTTAGAGCCTGATTCCTCGTCACCCCCCCCCCCCTCCCCAGCACCCCGCCAAAAATAAAACTTCAAAAGCACGGGCTAATAATCGAGTTGTAAGGCTCAGCAAACTTCCTTGTTTAATTGATTACCAGAAAGAGAGGCGGGGGGGCTCGTGTTGCAAAGGTCCATAAAGTGGCAGCAGCATGACAGCACAATAGAGCTCGCAAAACACGGAGATTTACCTTTAATACACCTCTATCCTGTGTCACAGTTTGAAGCCTTTCTGGTTTATGTCCCTCCTGGCAAACGCACATAAAAATTAGTCTGTACTGTAGCGGAGAGCCAGTCCTCTTCCACCTCCAAACACTTATTTGTTTCGCTTGGATTTCGCTGAGAAGCAGAGGGCCTCTTTCTCTCGTTCTCCTTTCTGCTCCTTGCTACTGATCTTCCATAAATGTGGAGAGGAAGCACTGTTCAATGTTGAGCTGCACGTCCAGGTATATATTGTGTGTTTGCTGTGGAGGTGACGCGAGAAACAGAACTGCCGAGCCAGGTTTAAAACCCAGATCGGAGTTTTTATAATGAGATATTATCCCTTTCTCTAATACCAGCATTAAAACCCTTTTTTTTTTAAGTGGCGTTTTGACTTTGAACCCGCTGAGAAGCCTCGTGACTGCGGAAATGAAGCCGATGATGAATCTCGCTTTTCATGAGGCTGTGTTTACGTTTGACGATGTACTAAAAGACGCCACCAGAATAAAGATGGAGATGTTGTTTCTGAGTGATTCATAGTCTCCCAAATTGTCCAAATGGTGGAGGAATCAGAGCGACTTAGGGTCTCCATGTCGGATGTTATGATCCGGCTTTATCTGCTGCTGTAAAATGTCTCTGTTTTTACTGCTCTGCTCTCAAACCTGAGCAAAAGAGCTGCATCTCTGACGGTCCTTATGGAGCTGAGGGTTTATAACGAGGGGCGGATATAACAAGTATTGTCTTGATGTTATCAGAGGGGGAAGAAGTACTCAGGTAATGTACTTGAGTAACAGTAGAAGTACTTAGGTCTTGTTCTTGAGTAAAAGTAGAAGTACTTAGGTCTTGTTCTTGAGTAAAAGTAGAAGTACTTAGGTCTTGTACTTGAGTAAAAGTAGAAGTATTCAGATTTTGTACTGGAGTAAAAGTAGAAGTACTCAGATCTTGTAGTAAAAGTAGAAGTACTCAGATCTGGTACTTGAGTAAAAGTAGAAGTACTTAGGTCTTGTACTTGAGTAAAAGTAGAAGTATTCAGATTTTGTACTGGAGTAAAAGTAGAAGTACTCAGATCTTGTAGTAACAGTAGAAGGACTCAAATCTTGTTCTTGAGTAAAAGTAGAAGTACTCAGATCTGGTACTTGAGTAAAAGTAGAAGTATTCAAATCTTGTACTTGAGTAAAAGTAGAAGTACTCAAATCTTGTTCTTGAGTAAAAGTAGAAGTACTCAGATCTTGTACTTGAGTAAAAGTAGAAGTACTCAGATCTTGTTCTTGAGTAACAGTAGAAGTACTCAGATCTTGTACTTGAGTAAAAGTAGAAGTACTCAGATCTTGTACTTGAGTAAAAGTAGAAGTACTCAAATCTTGTACTTGAGTAAAAGTAGAAGTACTCAGATCTTGTTCTTGAGTAACAGTAGAAGTACTCAGATCTTGTTCTTGAGTAAAAGTAGAAGTACTCAGATCTTGTACTTGAGTAAAAGTAGAAGTACTCAGATCTTGTTCTTGAGTAAAAGTAGAAGTACTCAGATCTTGTACTTGAGTAAAAGTAGAAGTACTCAAATCTTGTACTTGAGTAAAAGTAGAAGTACTCAAATCTTGTTCTTGAGTAAAAGTAGAAGTACTCAAATCTTGTACTTGAGTAAAAGTAGAAGTACTCAAATCTTGTACTTGAGTAACAGTAGAAGTACTCAGATCTTTTTCTTGAGTAACAGTAGAAGTACTCAGATCTTGTACTTGAGTAAAAGTAGAAGTACTCAGATCTTGTACTTGAGTAAAAGTAGAAGTACTCAGATCTTGTACTTGAGTAAAAGTAGAAGTACTCAGATCTTGTACTTGAGTAAAAGTAGAAGTACCAGAGTGTAGGAATACTCTGTTACAGTAAAAGTCCTGCATTCAAAAATGTTCCTCAAGTAAAAGTAGAAAAGTATTATCATCAAAATATAGTGAAAGTAGCGACAGTAAAAGTAGTCATTATACAGTCATTTACCTCTGAACTGTAGTGCAGTGCGAGTACAAGTACCTCACAATTGTAATTGAGTAAATCTACTTAGTTACTTCACACCTCTGGATGTTTAACAGCATGTGTATCCGTCTCCTCACTGCCAGTAGATGGCATCACAATGAAGAGATCGTCCTGATATTTATAACAAGCATTGGTTTAATTATTATATATTATAAAAGCTGAGTAAAATATCTCCAATCTAGAGCCGGCTTCTCTCACTTTTATCAGCATGATTGTATGTTTCTGTGTGCAGATATATATATATATATGTATGTTTGTGTGAGCAGTGAAAAGCCTCAGCCTCAGTATTGAAATGTGTTTGATCTGAAACGAGTTGCAACGAGTCTGACCCCCCGACTGACCCAGCAAAGGGCCAACAGGTTTCATCTGGTAGTTAAAGAAACTCCTCATCAATCTCATCCTAAGCCCTAACCCGCCAATGATGAGAAGTGTGTTTATTGTGGAGGGGGGAGAGAGGGAGGGGGGGGGAGAAAACGTCTCGCCGAGCGGTGTTACTAAGATACTCGTCTTTGTTGGAGCTCCACAATGGGGGCCTGGATATTTATTTCAAATCTCCTCTGCACATGCGGGACATGTTTCCCAGGCCTTCCTTTGCCAGCCTCGGGAATATAAAGTGGTGTTTACATACCTTCCTTTAAGGTCATGATGTCTCCCTAAAGCTGCCCCGTTACAACCAGCGTTTCCATGGTAACATATTAGTTAGAGCTGGGAATTTATTTAAGAAAAAAGACGGTTTTTTTACCCCTTTTTTTTTTTAATCCTGTGACTCAGTTTTTTTTATAGTTGTCCCCGATTTTGTACCTGAATCACTACAATGCATTTACGTGACTTAAGGTACGAGTTATATTCGTTTACTCTTTAAAACGCATCAGTCTGACACCTCTGTGTAACGAGAACAAGCTGCGGTCACTGTAGGAATACACATAAAACAACGAGTCATCGGATGAGTCAGTTCATGAAATGAGAGAAAGGCTTTTTTTATTTTACATTTTATTGCATGAAATTAAATTGTTATCAAGCAGAGCCAATATAAAGAGAACATGAGTGACAGAAATGCAAAAATAAATGAATAAAAAAAGCGTAAAAAATCCCCAAAAATAGACATTTGGAAAAAAATCATACTAATTAAAAATTGATAAAAAATACAATAAAAAAAACAAAACTAATAAACAATTAATTTAATAAATAAAT